GGGGGGGGGGGGGGGGGATAGGTGTCTATTTATAAAATTTAGTGGGTTAATTCCAAGTTATTCAATTTGTATCCCTTTGAGAACTTGGATTTTTTTTTAAAAAATCTTCATCAATGAAGAACTTTGTAGAGAATACGAAACTATTATTTTCAAAAAAGGGGGAAAATTAGAAATCTCTGCCTTTTTTCCCCCTGCAGTAGAGATTGTCTTTGAAATGTAAGCTGGTTGCTAAACATTTTAAGCAGTCTCAGCCATTTTCTCAATAACACTCTGGCCACTAGGGTTTCCACCATTTCTTGACTTCCTGAAGCTTCACCCTTGAACTACAAGCCACAAAGCCCAACTCACCTTATCCAACCTCTCTATACAGAATAGAAACATCACTGCATTTCATCTTTTCGTTCTTTTGGTGTGGGTCAGAGCCCCAACTACCTATGCAACCATGTAAGCATTGAGATTTATACAGTGGGAATAGACTAATCTCAGAATAGCTATGACCTCTTCCCCAGAAAAGAGAAACTGGAACTGACATAACTACAGCATTGTGTTGTTTTCAGTATTAACTGCAAACATTTGAAAAATAGCCAAAAACCATTTTATGGTCCTATGAATCCCAGTACACATTATGAGGTACAATAGGCAGAGTTAAGGTGATTTGGGGAATGAGGTTCCTGAAGCTCAGATGCTTTATTGAAATTACACCATTTAATTAAGCTTTTTTGTTCTTATTGTCATTTAAGGTCTAGTAATAGCTTCAGTTTTAACTCTTTTTGGTATAATACTTTATTTTGGAATAAACTTTAAACTTCTCAGGAACACTGACTGCCTTTTCATTTGCTTCAAGTTGCAACACTCAGATGAAGCATCAATGTACTCATTTGTGGGAAGGTTTTCTTTATTCTAGTGGAATTCTTCCATTTTTATTTATGCTAATAAAAGTTTCAAAATGTTTGGTACACAAGACAAACTGGAGGATTGTTTTCCTTTATGAGAACAGAGAAGTCTAAGCTTTAGTGATGGATAGACTTTGATGCCAGCCTGTGAGTTCAAAGAGCTATGGATAGGTGAAAGCTGAAGCAAATGGTTAAGCAGGCAACTAAGTGTGGGATGTGGTCTCCCACTCAGAAAGAGCCAAGGGAGAGGTTAATCCAGGAGACTACTATTTGGTGGTAACAAGAGCACTACACAGTGCCATGGACTAAAAATCAGAGCATTTCTGGCAAAGAGTCATCTGCAGTTGTTAGCCCTGCAATCAGTGTGAGCACTGAAAGCTTCAGACAAGATCTGTATTAATACAATATAAATGCTTCCACACCGAATGTGTACATGTACCCTATCAGGAGGTCCAATACACCCATCTAAATATCACATGTCCCCACCAGGTCATTTCATCAGACACCAGTCACTGGCACATGTTCTGTACCCACACACACATTACATCCATACGCTTATGCTTCACACATGGCTCTATCTGTACTTGCACAATGGCACTCACTCCACATGCATAGGGACACATCCTCACCAGGCATACACACCACTGTACGTCTCAGTCATACTCTGTGCTTGTGCATGCATGTTCACACACACCTTGTTTTTCCCCCGTTCCAACCTATGTTCTCAGACAGGCCTTTCCGTGTTCACGTTGCATGTGTCTTGCTTACATGCAAACAGTGCTCCCACTTGTCACCACACAGAGATGCATGCAAAGTCATATACCCAACACAAGTGTCAGTACAGACAATGCTTCACATGCTACTGAACCCTGTGGATGTGATAAGATATCTCCTCCCCTCCCAAAAATTCTCTTATAAAAAGTCCTAGTGGAAAATCCTAGGAGTGGGCTGGAGCATGATATCCTTATGGGCATGAAGGGAGAGAAACCAGGATGGAACCAAGCTGTGGGGAGCTCTTTGGGGAAGGAGAGGTGGCTGCAGGACTAGGGAGGGGATAGTCATTTCCCTCCCAGGGCAGTGGGGAGGCAGCCACTATTCAGATCCCATAGGTTGTGTCCCTTGCCCGGTGCCAATCGCCAAATGCAGCACCAGTTCTGGATGGAGAGTGGAGGGTCCACAGTCCTGGGAGGAGACGGATAGGTCCAGATCAGTCTAGCCCCCGGTCAGAGTCAGATGATGACCTCTCCTCAGCCATCTCATGCACAACATTCTCCAGAGGAGTAAGGTTGCCACTTGGACTAATCCCCATCGGCTGGATGACTTGCTGTCTGCAATTAAAAGGGGAAAACAGCAGAGCAATTTTGAAAAGTAGTTCTGATGAAGAATCACAATAATGCATTGGTCCCAGATCCACCCTTGTTACAAAGCAAGTATGTCCATCCCCCAAGAGACCCATGAAGAGCTCCACATGAGGTCCTATAAAAGAATGTGTCGGAACCAGTGAGTTCTAAGCTGTCACAGCATCAGAGACCTATGGGATCTCTCAAGACCTACATGACAGCCAGGAAGAATGCTGTTTGACACCAATGAAACCGATGACCCCTGGAACAAGCTTGTTAAAAGAACAAAGGTCAGCCTGATTTTCAGAAATGCTGAGCACCCAGAACTCTTATAGAAACCTCTGAGCACTCGAGGCTTCCAGTTTCAAAGCTTTTAATGACAGCAGGAAAAAAAACCCCACTGACCAAACAATCTAATCCAAGGAAGGAACTGGCTTCACTTCTGAAGAAACTTAGTAAAAACACAGCTCCTGAGGCACTGAACAGTGGTGGCCCTACAGTTCCTGCAACACCAGGAACAGCCACTCTATGCTCCTGCTGCACTGGTCTAAGTGTAGAATACCTTAGAGGCCCTGGTACCATCTTAACCAGCCAGCTGCAGTGTAATGTTAGTGGCATCAGGCTGGAAAACACAATGGAAAAACATGTGGCACCTTCATTAACTGATAATCTGCATCTGCCCTACTGCCTTTTTCCTTTGTCTTGGGGTCTTTTGAACTCACTAGGTAAAT